CCTTCGTCTTCCCTCTTTCCCTCCACACCTTCTCTCTCCACAACTTCCATCAACCTCACTTTGGCCCCGTCTTTTTCTTCTGCAACGCTCTCATTCACATGGGACGATGTCTTTCGCGTATCTGAATCTCAATCTGCCGCACAACCCCGCTCTCGTTATCTCCAAGGCTTCTCCCACAAAGTTCAACTATGCAATCGTGCTTCTGTAAGTAATTCTCACTGTTTTCTCTGCTTCGTTAAAAAACGCAATTAATTAATGAATGAAGCAAATTTGATAACTTGACACACCCAATTGTGTGCTTGTGCATCATTCCCTGTCTTTTACTATAAAGTTTTTTTCTTTTCGGTTTTTGAGATGTGGGTCTGCCTAATTTTAAATTTTTGGATAGGGTACATTTGGTTTGATCATAAACTGTGTTATTGATGTTGAATTTGCTTATAGGAGAAACAATCTGAATTCCTTCCATTTGTCATTGAGGACCACGTTGTCGGATTCATTCACAATGGGTAAAATTTACTTCAATTCTACATTATGTTTTTTTCTGAACAAAACTTAATACAAGCGCTAGACTATTCTTCGGTTAGAATTGAAGTATCATCTCGGTAACACGAGTAAAGAGGATACAGTGTTAGTTAGAAAGAGTTAAAATACTAACTCTAGTTAGTTCTCTCATTGTATATAAGTTCAACTTCTCTATATTTCTAAATGCATTCAATATTCTTCAGACTCAATATAATTCACTCTCTGTTAGTTTCTCTCAACAATGAGTTAATATTTAATTGAACCCTTTATTATGCATATTATTGAAATGAAACTTCAATTTTAATTGGAGAACAACACTCACTATACCTATAAATTTACTTCAATTCTATATTATGTTTAGTCTGGAAAAAACTTAGATACAGGCTCTAGGCTATTCTTCGGTCAGAATTGAAATTTCACCTTAGTAACATGTGTTGATATTTAATTGAATCCTTTACTATGCATATTATTGAAGTGAGACTTTAATTTTAATTGAAGAACAACACCAATGATATCTATGAATTTACTTCAATTTTACATTATGTTTTTTTCTGGACAAAACTTAGATACAGGTGTTAGGCTATTCTTTGGTCAGAATTGAAATTTCATCTCGATAACATGTGTTGATATTTAATTGAATCCTTTATTATGCATATTATTGAAGTGAAACTTCAATTTTAATTAGAGAACAACACCAACAATACCTATGGTACTACATATAAGTTTATCCTTCTTTTTTTCTTGTAAAATTCTTGTGTCATCTCATCCCTCTGTGAATGTCTCATTGGTTAACCTTGTTGGATTCTTTTTTGAATCAATTTTTTATGTTGTTCTGATTTATTATGATGCAATGAACTGCTGCTTGTGCACCTTAGCTAATGATAGTGGCAGGTTTATTGGCTAAACTTAAAATTAGTTCAGGTTTGTGGAGCATTTGAGGGGCTTTGGCGAAGTATTTGTTTTCCCGAAAGATAAATATAATGGATGCCCCAATGGTGAAATTGTTTCTTTGCATCCATTGCTGAAGACAACTGAGGAAAGAACCAGTGCAGTTGGATATGTAGTAGAGCGTTTGGGAGAGGAGCAGATTCCAGGTATACGGAACGAGGTATTAATTTAGATATTTTAGATTTAGAGTATGTTAGATTTTGTCATTCTTCTATGCTTTTCTAATGCCTGAGTACCTAACCTATGTTGTATTTCCCATGTTTTATCAGCTTTACCCCGTGACATCATCATTTGGGGCACCCATTTTCTTTTCATTAGAGCGTGCTGCAGCTCCCTATTTTGGCATAAAGGTCTGAGAATATCTCCGGGTACTTGACTGCCAAACTTGCTTTCTTAAGCAGTTGTAGTTATTGCATATGTTTGAAGTCATATATTCAGCTTGGTATATATTGAATTCTGCCAAGGCCTTGTGCTGTTATCGTAGTTTAGACTCATTTTTACTCTTCTAAAGCATGTTTAACCACAATTTATCATTTTGGGAGAAAACCAATTTCCTCCTCATTTCATGTTATTTATAAACTAATTTATGCCAATAAATTTTTATGATAAAAACTTTCAAACAAAACAGTCAAGTATTGTTCATTGTAAAATTGAAATTGAAAATTGAACTTTCTTTAGTTTTGTGATTGTAGAATTGAATGTTGCCAATTTGCAATCTTAGTGTTGGCATCATTTTGAAATTAATTGATGATTTGTCTTCAAACAAATTCAGCAAAACCACACAAATATTTGTTTTACAGAAGGTTTTCTAGTTGATAAGTCCAGTTCATATCCTAAAGCTCTTGATGGTTATAACATCTTTGACCCGTTTTTTTCTCTTCAAAGATTAGGCTTATGGAGTTCATATGAATGGCTATGTGGAGGTGGACGGGGAGAAGCACCTGTGGGTAGGGAAAAGAAGTGACACGAAACAGACATATCCTGGAATGCTTGATCATCTAGTTGCAGGAGGACTGGTTTGTAGTTTAATTTTTATCTGTTGAGCCTTGAAATGTTTAAAGCTTTTGCCTCTGGTTAGGAACTGAACAGTGCTCATAATGTGCAAACACTGATTAAGCATATCAATATCGGCTAATAAGATCAATTTACTATCAGACATTTCCTTTAGTTCAATGAATTATCATTGAGATTCTTAGTTAATTACTGCTGTCACAGCCGCACGGAATTGATTGTCAGGAGAATCTTGTAAAGGAATGTGAAGAGGAAGCAGGAATACCTAGATCTATCTCTATCAAGTAAGTTACTAATCTGGCACCAAACTTGCCTACTTTCTCCTTTCTTCCTCTAGTGCACGGATTTTGATTTTCCTTTGGGATGGCGAGGTAAGGTAACTGAATATTTTTTCTGCCTATGCTCAACATGTTTATTAGGTGTGTGTACTAGTTCACTCTTTCTAAGCATAAGCCAAAATGACAAAATCCAAATAAGTAGTTCTCTTTCTCTGTCTAATTCTGTTGATTGCTGCTCTCACAGAGCCATACCTGTCGGTGCTGTTTCATATATGGACATTGATGGGTTTAGATTCAAGAGAGATGTTCTATTCTGTTATGATCTAAAACTTCCAAAAGATTTTGTACCTAAAAATGAAGGTAAGCCTTACGAGTTCCTCAATTTTACTGTTGTATATGTTCTAGTGGGACCCGCTCACCCTTTGTGATAACTGATTTAATAAATATCAGATGGAGAAGTTGATAGCTTCAAGTTGATCCCTATTAAGCAAGTTGCAGAAGTAATACGCGACACACAGTTTTTCAAGCCGAATTGCTCTCTTGTAATCATTGACTTCCTGTTTCGACATGGGTATTTCTCTCTTTCTACTTCTTTCCATACTTTTTTTCGTGTATGTTAATATAAATAGTTAAATGGATGGAAAACATTAAACAGTCTTTTTACATTAAAATCCTAACATGCATATAAAATGGCAATGTGGTCATTGTTCTATTCTGTGAACCATATGGTATTTGTATGCAAGACTTTTGGTTGTGTGCTACTATGCTTTCTGGGAACTCAAGTTTGGTTTATTTTTCATTTCCATTTTTTATGGGCCTTTGGCAGAGTATACACAATGGATTTGGAATTTCCAAGCCTTGCAAATATATATTAGGAAATCATATATTGCAATTATACTTCATACGAAGTAACAAAAGTGAAGTTTCTTTTGCAATTGTTGTCTTAAATGATTATTCTCAGGGTGGTTCCAGTGAGAACTTAATTCTGTTCTTCTGTTGCAGATACATCTGCCCTGAATATCATGGATATTTGGATCTCCTACGAAGCTTAAGAATAGGAGACTGCTCCTGACTCAAAGCATCATGACTATTCACTGGAAAGAACCAGTGCAGTTGGATATGTAGTAGAGCGTTTGGGAGAGGAGCAGATTCCAGGTATACGGAACGAGGTATTAATTTAGATATTTTAGATTTAGAGTATGTTAGATTTTGTCATTCTTCTATGCTCCTTGGTATGTATCCTTTTAGGCCCCTACTTAAAGAATAACATCTCACCACAAAAACTAAGAAAAATTAAAGATAATAATAATAATAATAATGACTTGTTGTTTGTAAGTTACTATTTCAATTCTTTTAAACTATCCCATCATGGTGATGGTAATAATCTTTGACTCTTGGCTCATGATCCAAGCCAACTTTTGTTGTGAAGTTATTGCTTTGATTTTGCCTCACACTGGACAGTTTATGAGAAAATTTTGGGTAGAGTTCAATCCTTTTTAGTGGCAAAATCACAAAGACTTCCACATACTAGATTCATCCAATAGTTTGGACCCTACAAAATAATTACAAATGTATGATCAAGGAAAAAGCCTAAAATCATATTGAATGACAGTGGGGTCTAAATCCTGTAATTAGAGAAATTGCTAGGCAATGAAGAGTAACAAGGGCCTTAGGAGTTAGGATGAACCAACATATATAAATATAAAGGCCTTAAATTATTGGGCCTTAATAAAGACTAACCCCATACTAGGTATTTTGCACGGGAATTCAAGTGATATAGACTAGGCATAACTCATAAGCAATGATGTTTGGAATTGATTTCAATGACATGATAAAATATAAGGTTTAGTTACCCTTTTAAGTTTTATAGTTTGATGTTGTTAAAAATATTTTATTTTAACTCTTATACACATTATTTTAGTTTTTTTTTTATCGATAAGAAAAATTAGAACAATAATATAATAATGAATACCAAGGTGAACTTCAATGATCCAAAGAAAGTATGTAGTTAAGTTGCAAAGAAATAAGAAAAAGGAATGAAAGAAAGAAAGAGCAAGAAGAGGCGCCACAAAACGTGTGCTGAAAAGAGAAAACAAAACATTAGGAAAGCACGGGAATCTTGTCGGTGACTTATTTATGCTCAAATTATCACGAGTGCTCACCTCTTCACTAGTTTTAATGAAATTATTAGTTGTTAGTGCTTTTGGTGTTATAACAGAAATTCAGAGTATCAAGTTTAAAACATAAAAGTGCACCATCCACCAAAACAAACATAAAAGTATATTAATGCGGGCTTCAAAGTTATTTTAAAAATTATAATATTTTTTGAAAATAAATATAATATTCTATTCATATGTTAAAAAATATACCCAAAAAAAACTCTAAAATACAGCTGTATGGCATAATTAAGGTTCTTTAAGATCAAACAAACATACCCAAAGAGTAATTTATTGTAAAAATGACATGCTACAAGCACGATTTATGTATTTCGGTCCTAGTGAATTTATGACAAAATTTACTTTCAATAAATTTCGTGGATTCGAATTAGAGATAGTAACAATTAGAAAAATCTTCTAGCTAGCATGATGTGAACTACCGAATTTATAGTCTTGTTCAATACAAAATTACGTGAATAGAATTATATAATAAATGACATAAGCATGTCAATGTATGTGAAAATAACTACAAATCAAATAGGCAAATCAGGAGCAAACATTCTGAGTATAGAAAACTCCTCTAATTGAATAAGCTGTGGATGGAAATCTCAGTGGGTCTTATTCTTGTGTTTGCTACATCAAAATCCAAACAAAAGTTGGAGCTAACATCATTTTCCTCCCAGGTTTTATTTTCCTCAACATCCCTTTCATTTTTTTTTTCCTTTTTCTTTTCCATGGGGTCTAAGAAAAGGGTAACAATTGGGGTTACACAATTGTGACTTTCTCATTGACCCATCAATTGCGGCAAAACTTTCTACTCTCCCTAGGGTAATTTATATTGTCCTTTTCTATTTCCTCTTCTACTTCATCGTTTAGGGTGACAGTTTTTCATTTTCATTTATGTATGTGCACTGCTCAATTCAATTATTTGATTAGCAGAGAATGGAAACTGAAAAAATATTAAAAAAAATATGGGTTGCTCAAAAAAAGCCACAACTACTTATTACCTTAACTATTATTTCAGTACACAAACCCCTACATGTCAACATTGCCTTTACATTTTGTTCGTCCGTGAATAATGCCTAAGATTAGGTGTATGCATATATATAAATTAGTTGGCAGTGCCCACCCTCTTGCCCTTCCTCAATTAATGAATTACCTACAAGTTTAAAGGAGTTAAATCTCTCCTTGCTTTCCATTCATTTTGGTATCATAGTGTTCCATTTATGGCACCACCGACATTAATACTAAACTTTTAATTGCAATGTGCCATTCCCCATCTAGTGTCTTCTCTAGCTAATTACTAGATCATAATAAAAACCTGTTAGTTAAGTATGTACTCAGTGATTCAATTATTGACTGGTGTGCATTAAAAAATGTTAGAAAAATTAACTCCTCAAATAAATTTCATTATTTCGAGAGATTAGTCTTTTAATTTTAACTTCAATCAGAAAAATACCTAATACCTAATTTACTAAAGAAAAGACAGTAAAAATATATTAAATTTTTTTTTTTTTGTCTTATTTGTTATGAAATTGTGGGGCATCTGAAAAAGGGTAGTGGTAAATCTCAGTTGATTTGAAAAATGAAATTTCCTATAGTTTTTGTAAATTCATGGGGGGTGTTTTTCTTTATCTTGCTTGAAACAGAGACTTGTCTGTGCTTTTTAATGGGACAATGGGGTCAATATCATGAGTCACTTTATGAAATGCCATTAAATATGCTTGACCTAATCACAGGCTGTCCTAGAACCCTAATTAAATGAATACTTATGTCCCGGTTGAGGCATAGAACAAGTCAACCAACTTCTAACATTAATATTTTTCATTACATGTTGGATGTGAAAAGCCTTTACAGGCCATGTGAATTTGTATATGGAGGGACCCTTTCATTTACGTCACTATCCATTCGGTGGGGGGATATGCCCTGCTTGTGTTGCCATTTTTCTCATTTTTCCTTTCATCAAAGGGTAGTAAGGGCAAGTGGAAGTTGCATGCTTTCACTTCTTTCCACTTTTTTCCCTTCCCCTAACACAAAGGGTGTATCGAATTAATTGAAAGGCTGAACCCACCAAGGTATATAGAACTTTCATCTCACTTGCCATGGTTTCCATAGTGGAGAAAGTGACCCAAGAGGCCAAGGGCCAAAGTTCCCTTCTTCATCTAGAAATTTCAAAAAGGGAAATTCTCTTCATGCGCGCTAAATGGCGCATAAGAAATTGATTCATATATGTAAAAGGTGAAAAAAGAAAACATTACTAGAACCGATATAGTGGTGGGGATAAGAGTAATATACACAAGTCTTAGTTTTAAAATTTTGATGAATTTTAAAAAAAAATTAAAGATGTTAATGATCCATGTCCTAAAGACATTAACAATATAAATAATGATTAAAAGTCGTTTTTTAAAAATCATTTTATTCAAAATTCTATTCTTGATTCCTTACCCTTAAAAATTCCCCCACTCATTTGAGACACCTATGAGCAAACACGTTAAGGCAAATACATTTAAAGCCCTACTAGCCACCGCTAGTGTACATTTTTTTCTCTTAAATGCAAACAAATTTATTCGATGCTACTGCCCTTTTCCCTAATATGATGGAAAAGTTGCTATCTTCTATTCAATTCCGTGTCTCACATCAAGAGAAAATAAATGACAAGCAGAAGATAATGGACATCAATGTGCCGTGGAAAGAAGTTGAGTAGGAGGTTGCCATGAAAACTGGGAGAGCCCTCTGATGAGAAGCGAATATTGATCCCAGTCTACATGTTCCTGAGGGAACCGAGTGTTCCTTGTTATTACAGTTTCCTTATTTCAACATCAAAAAATTGATATTGTTTGTGGCACTTTATACAAATAAGTTTATCCTTTTAACATACGTCTACAATATATCCTAAAAGTCGTCTCAATTTTAATTGTATTAAAAAGAAAGCATTTCATAGTAAGAATGAATGCCCCAAATTTATTCGGGCTAGACAGTTTATCCAAATAATGAACCATAAACATCGATGGGCTTAAAAATGATAAGAGAGGAATAATAGCTTCAATTGAGTTGGCTCTTCGTCATTAGGAACAAAAATTTCACTTTCATCTTGCCTTCACTTTTATGTGAGACAAGATTCAGCGGACAACACCCGAGGAATGCAGGAGATGAAAGGGGTAGCACAGAAGAGGCGCAACCAACAAAAAGAAAAAGACAAAAGCATTTTTTTTCATTAAAGTCAAGCCATTTGAATAAAAAAGTGTGTATCGATTGACAAACTTTAGTTTACGATTTTGATTATGTAAAATTATTTTTGTTAAAAATAAATTCAAAGTTAGTTTAATTTATCAGCGTGAGTAAAAGTAAAAGCAACTTGTCGTTATGTACGGCGAAAAGTAAGTTTTGGTTAGTAACTAAACAGGTGTGTTCAAACACGAGGAAAAGCAAGTTTGAACGTTTGCTAAACGAGGCATAATGCGAAGGAGACTTCTAACTGAACGAGCTTTGCTCAAACTTAACAGTATTTGTGTCCACAACTCCATGGGGGAGAAGTATGCATAAAGAAAACAGATTTGAATTCAAACCTAATAGTAATGACGAAGGGTGCACATGGGGGTATTCTTAAACCATACCGCTAATCAATGAAAAGTAGGCATTATTCATTCAAAAAATTAAATAAATGAAATATTAGGCATGCCATCCTTAAAGGTTCTTAATGGTCCCACCACCATGACTTGAATTTGGGTCCTCTAAAGAGTCTAAACCCTAGACAACGGTGGTGACCTCGATCGAAGATTGAGGATCATTTCAAACCGCAAGTATAATCTTTGATAACACCGCCATAATTACAGGCCTAACTCCAACTTACTAAGTTTTTTATATTGAAAGAATCAACAAAATCTTACTGATTTCGTAACCCCTCCTCCACGCACGTTGTAAAGGAATTAGAGTTGAAAGCATTGTTTTGCAAAGACGATGAATATTGCTAAACTCATTAGCACGGAGTCACAAGTAAGGCAGACATCACATAATTGCAGATAGATAGGGCAAGTCAAGCAAAAGCACACAACATTCTCAGCAGATAAATATTTTTGAGACACTGATACGAGAAAGGAATTACCTCAACTCAGAAAATCATACATGTAAAATGTTCATAAATTATACTATAAATTGCAAAAACAAAAGAAACAAAAATTAAACAAAAAAAAAAGTATGATATAAGAGAGACAATAACAATAAACTCCACAAACATGCAGCAGCAGGAGCAGCAACAGAAAGTGCCACTACTGTCTTTGCAACCCTGAATTATGGTCTCCAAATTGATCCCTATACATACACATTTTCTCTGCAACCTACTCTTTTTCTGCCATTTTTATTTCACAACTCGAATATCCATAACAATTCAAATCAATATGGAGAGACTTTCTCCTCTTACCTCAATTCCCTGTAACCTCTTCTAATGAGACATTAATTAGCACAAACATGCATGCAGCCTTACACAAACCCTTCTCGTTCTCCTGGTTTTATTTTTTGCGACGAGAGTCGCGTACTTGACATGGCTGGCACGGGAAGAAGAGGGCACAGAAGAAATGGCCACCAATAATAACAAAAGTATGAAATGAAGAACATGAATGTTTTTTTTCCTCGTTGCTAGAGTAGAGCGAGAGGGTTAGAGGAGAAAAGTTCTCAAAAGAATCAATAAAAGGGTGGTGGAGGAGGAGATGCATATGAGACTCCGATGACAGGTGGCAAAGGCCCTTCATATACAGGTGCAGGTGGTGGAGACGCCGGTGGCGGCGGCGGCGGAGAATTGTAATAAGGTGGTGGTGGTGGTGGTGGTGAACTATATTGAACCGGTGGAAGTGGGGGAGATGGGGATGGTGGTGGATGGTAGGGAGCGGGTTGTGGTGATGGTGGTGGCGGTGAATGCTCTTCACACGGTGGTGGTGACGGTGGGGGAGGTGGTGGCTCTATACAAGGTGGTGGGGGTGGTGGTGGTTCTATACAAGGTGGTGGTGGAGATGGGGGTGGTGGTGAATACACTGGTGGTGGAGGCGAGTGAACAGGTGGAGGTGGTGGCGGTGATAAATAGGGATAAACAGGTGGCGGTGGGGAATGTGGTGGCGGCGGTGGCGAGTGTGGTGGCGGTGGGGGTGAGTGTGGTGGAGGCGGCGGTGGCGAGCTGTAGTATTGCACAGGTGGTGGCGGGGAGAATACAGGAGCCGGAGGAGGCGGCGGGGAAGGCGGAGGCGGTGAAGGTGGCGGTGGAGGCCTTACACAGTATACTGGCGAGGGTGGTGGCGGTGAGGGCGGTGGGGGAGGCGGTGAGTACACCGGTGGCGGCGGAGAAGGCGGCGGTGGTGAAGGTGGTGGCGGGGAAGGAGGCGGTGGAGGGGGTGAATAAACCGGTGGTGGTGGTGGTGGTGGAGGAGGAG